TTGAATGAAGCAGGCATGAAAATCTTGAAAATTCTTGAAAACTCAACAAATCTAATTGTAATGGACCGACCTACGTCACCAGAAGGGCATACTTTACACAATATTTGGAATAAATGTGGTGCTATAACTTGGCAGTAACATTTGAGAGGGGAGAAATTTGATCCGCCTAAGATCACAAGATTTGATCCACTTGGGAACACTTACATTATGAGTTATGTAACGTAGATATGTACTTAATTTGATTTATGCGCTGACATCATAGTGTGCACACACGTCATCTTGCATACACACAATCTAACATGCATGCATACACACAATTTAATATACCGATTTCATTTCTCGGAAATTGTGAAAGATATCCCTCCCTTCGCATTACCATACACTGCATGCGTTCAGATTATTATACACGTCATAATATGCGTGCACGTCATTCAGGATATCAGTTTTCCCAGAACTTGGAAGAGATATGTCCTCCCCACAGTATTGGTTTTGTTCGCAAAAGGTGTGGTTCTCTCTCTTTAGCTGTTATATTTTTGTTATTTTTTAATTAATTGTACGTGAAAAATATGTAATTCGTTTTAGAATGAAAATATTAAAATAACTGGAACTGGGAATGGTTTAATTATGTCGACCATTCGAACAAAACAGGATATGCATATGATGTACTTGATACTGACGTGAATAGCTTGGGTGCCATAGCAATTTGTACACCTAAGAAGATTTATATATTCCAACGATTCTGCAATATGCAATCATTAACGACTACATCAAGTTGTTTAAACTGTAGGTTATTTTATTTTGTTGATAAGTGTATTATTTTTGATAAAATGACAAAACTAATATTGCAGTACAAATTCGCGTTAACTATTCTCCTCAGCTATCATTTTTTAAACTATAAAAAAACAAGTTTGAATCTTCCGATGAAAATTTCAGCAACCACTTCTTTGAGGTACAATAAACGCAAGTCTTGAACAAGTGAAAGATTTGTGGCACGAGAAGTTTATTCAGGATTGAATAACTGGCAGTGAATCTACGTGAGTCATTTCATTTCGTTAAATAAGACTTGAATAAAATATTCGAAAATAGGATATTAATTTGCGTTATTTAAATTTTGTTGAATAATGAACTTTTTTTGAAATTACAAATGAGAAACTACTTTATAGGTGTAATGAACGCAAATTTGAAAATGTCGTGAGAAGCTAAAATATGGTTCTACACCTATTCGATAGATACCTAGGAATAGAACGGTGGAATCAAAGAACATTTGCTCGATGACAAACTTGAAGGAAAGGAATAAAATTTGTGCTCGGATGGAAATGAGAAGTATTCGCGCCCATTTCAGAGGAGCGGAAAGGCTGCTTGAGATATCCGAATTCTGGAAAAACTATCCATTGGGAAAAATTATTTTTTATTTAAATGAATAATGTTAGTACCTAATTTTTTCAATATGAACTAGCAGTTAAAATGTATTTCAAATGTAAGCTTTCCGATGTTTACCTGTTGCTTCAAGTACATTGCTTTCCATCTCGAACTTTTGCTGTATTTTGAGTTTTTGTAGTTTCTAAGTCTTGAAATCAGTCTTTTTTCAATCTAGATATAATTATATCTAAAATAATCATATTTCCTTGCCATAAATTTGAAAGAAGATTTATTATGACTTGTTTAAAAATTTAGAATTTAGTTTATGAATGTGGATCGTTACAGTGCACATAAAGTATAAATCACATCCATGTCATTGTTTCGATTTTGTGTTCGATAACTGCTTTTTTTGAAAGTTCTCGGAAATATTTTTCAAGTTCAACAGTAACTTCATCAACAAGACATAGACTCTTCTGAGCAAATATTGTTTTATTTAGCTGCTTTTTTTCAAACGATGGGTTGGAATGATGTAGTTAGATTTAATGAAGGAGAGCGCACTAAACAAAGACAGTTTCTCCTCCTCACCTAACAAAGGGAGGAAACAGTTGTATTTGAGCCGTAAGCAACAGATTAATTTACGGAAGTACACATGTGTCTATTACGATCTCTATCTAGAGATTGACGTTACACCACGAAAAAAGACAATTTCGACTGAAAATGAGTTGTTGTTTTTTAAAAATAAGTAAATAAACAATTATAAGAAATTTCATGGCTGGGGCATAACCTACTTTCGACTTCATTTTTTGTCGTTTTTTACCCCTTGTTCTACTCTACTCAGTCCCTTGTTTTTTGTGCTTCCTTAACTCATTTTTATCTCACCTTCCTAAATAACTTCGCAAAATGTCAATTCCTATCAATTAACCCTTCGATCTTCTAGAAATGAGGTGACGAATGAAAAAGTTTTACAAGAGTAAAATATCTTTTTGCTATTGCGATTGTTTCTAACTGCAATTGCGAAAGTAGGAAAGTTTCGCACAAGTCGACGAATCTGCCTTTCTATGCAAGAGCAATGCTCAGAGCGGTCTCATATCGTGCTCATCGGTAAAACAACTGCAATGAAATACTATTCTACAGGGAGTGTGCCGCCACTTTTAGTTGAAGGATCCGATGTCTCTCTTCACTTTTAATGAAGTGCAAGTTTTGTCCATTGTTGGTATCACGGTAAATATTGATCACCAGTACCCTGCAGAATCAATGCGAAAGTTTATTAAAGAAATGTATCGTATATGTGGTTCAAGAGCTAACAGCGTGTTAGCTAACATGACACGTTCTTTTTAGCCATATATCTATTTAAGAACAGAAATGTATCTCACGATTATCGAATTACGTTTGGATCCAGAATTGTCGAACGGAATTATTAAATTTGTAGTGTTTTGCGCTACATACAAGTCTCTTTCAAAACTGATTGTTCTGATAAGTGAATGATACGATTCACTTCTGTAGTTGCATGCGTACATATCCGAATATGCATCACAAACTAGGAGGTTACTTCTATTTTCTCTAGTTGCTGATATTTTCATTGATTTGTGCTATAAACTCTTAAAACTGCCATAAATTGCAAATGATACATTAAGACTTAAGAAAGAATAATAATCACTCTCATACAAGGTATGTCGTTAACTATGTAGATCACATCTTTCTTAAAACTAGAGCGTCTTGTGCAGTGTCTTTGTGAATTAAATGTGGTAATTCTGATGTTGCATGACGTGTGTGCGTAGTATAATGTCCATGCAATCATATTGTACGTTGGTCAGACATATAGAGACCAGAAATGGGATATAGGACTGCAGTATTACTGAATGGAAGATTCTAGAGACATCTATATATATCTATACATGTGGAAAGAACTTGTTCTTAAAATATGCATTGAGTGATGCGCATTGACAATGAAACATACAAAAGTACCTGTTATAAAAAAAAGTCTGCAGATGGTGCCACAAAAAAATATCAAGCATGATATCTTAGAGAATATTTTAGAACAGCAGGATAAGTAATGTGGTCAGAATCATAGAAACCTGCCTTTTTTTAATCACAGGATTGTTAATTAGTGATAGTTAAGGAAAAATGACAGATTGGTATCACGAAGTATGTCCGTGTTATCAGTCTGTATTCTTTTCTTTCGGTGATAATATTCATGATCTTAAAGATGTGACCTTTCTAGTGTTCATTTTTTAATTGGTAAATAAGACAACTTCGAAAAATAATTCGGATGTAATTATAATGAGGAAGCTATTTGACTCGCAAGTAGCAGAATAGAAATCAGCAGAAAGACGCTGAAGTACATAAAATATGCCTGACGGATTTTCAAGTAAAACTGTGTCCATATGACTGCAAGCAGTAATTATCGGTCTTAACAAAACTAATAGAGTTGTGCAACTATTTACGGGTTGCTTGTCTGTGTACTACTATGGACAACATTTTCAGTTTCATACCATCTTTTCCAACTTATTTAACTTCAGCAGTCTAATTCTTGAGATTCACATAGCATGCGGCGTTACTGCTGTCTTCAGAAAAGCTTCGGATTTACTTGTTGCTTATGCACTGAAACTGTAAGATGGCAAACATTTATATGGGATCATTAGTAACTTGACACTGATGCATGAATTATAGAGCTATGTCGCTACTTGTACAAATTACTCGTTATGCTTGATAATAGTAATTGTTGAGTTATTAAGATGAAATGATTTGGATTTCCTTTTTGACGTTTTTAAGGAACCAATTTCTTTGGTTTTCTGAAAATTGTTTTTCATATTACAACCCAACAGGAGCATTGGCGCAGCGTAAAATGTTTATAGCAATAAAATTGCAATACAGATACAACAATTGAAATAGTCATAGATTAACAATAAGAATGCAATTTGTTAACACGATAAAAATTTGGGCATTTAACACGATGCTTGAAATGGTGACCCTGGAACATCGTCGTTGCCATATTTGATGAAAATGAAACTTTTAGCTTCTTCATCAACTATATATTGCACTTCGAATTGACCATGACCCACATGGCGCACTGTGATTTCTTTGCATGGTCCTTTCGATGTCATCACACCAACAAAAAGGACATTCTCACCTAATTAATATATAATCTTAATTTACGTTTTTTAAGATTGACTTCTCAACAACATTGTGATGCATATACAACACCAGTACAGCTCACTTTTCAAACTGCTTTTTCTAGTTTCTTGTGCCATTTTAATTTAAGAAGAATCATAACGGGTTCCCTTACGTGCAATGAAAAGTATTTGCAATCTATCAAACCTGCAAGATTAGAATTAATGTTGAAGAAGGTCGGCTGTCCAGGTAGAAATTTCTTTAGGCCATAACCTTCTACCACAACTTTCTCTGCATCTCCACAAAAATTCGGAAATTCTTCAACTAACTCTTTTCTGACTTTAGCCAAGGTGTTAATCTAAATGCATTTTAATATGATACGACTTTTATTAGATCAGCACATATATGCATTCACCGACAATGAAAAAAAATTGTTCAGTTACTACGTCCTCCCATTATAAAAAATTGTGAAATAAATTTAGCATAAAAAAAGATACCTTGATGAATGAACTGTCCAACTCATTGCTGCTCATTTCTTGTCCTTCAATAACTGCCTTAAATGGAGAACCAGGTACGTGAGTATCTGAAGAGTAAGGACCAGAGCAATCTACTGAATTTACATGAAAAATTATGATAAAGAACTTAAGCACATATATTATCTCATTTCCGAACCAGAAATGAAACAACCTAAACACAAGCCAAAAAACCAGAGGAAAATTATTGCACGGACAAAACTACGAATTTATAAACTAAATTAACTCTCCTGACAGCATATGAAAAAATCCTACAAGATGATAGAGTTTACTCTATTTTTTAATTTCATTCCCTTCATTTTTGTAAATTTAGCAATAACAATAATTTAATACCACGTACAAAATCGCTCGTTTGAAACATAAACAGCTGATCGACTAAATATAAAATTTCATTTTTGAAAACTAACCAGCAAATTTGATAGACACATAATATGCTCCAGGAACTAAAGGCGTATAGCAGACTTTGTACCCTTGTTCAACATGAAAAGGACTTCAGCTTTTAATACGTTGAGTTAATAATAAAATACAATGAGGAAAAAGAATGCATTTTCAAACTTTTCAAGCACAATTACTTCAGAAAAAATGTTCTCATGAATGCAAAAGATATCTTATTCAACTTATAGAACAACAATAGGAACTTATACTATTATTAATCACAAGTTATAAATTGTGAAAAACAAACCTCACACGCACTCATAGTAACTTTTGATGGTCCATCAATCTGAATTTGCAAAAGTCCTGTTCCTGCATCATAGGTGTTGACAATAAATTCGCAGTCCTGACCAGCTTGCCCACCATGAATACCATTACCAGATACTGTTATTATTGATGGATCGTTGTGATCTGCATCTATCCGAAAACGGAGACGTGAATGTTGCACATGTGTGCCATCAAGAGTTAGGTCAACATAATAGTCTCCAACCTAAACATTTGCACAGGCAAATTAAAGACGTAGCACACCAAATGTCTGTATTACCCAATAAACATTATAAAATCGAAATACATGAAACAGTACAAATGATAAATTTAAATGGTACAAGATTCATGAAGAAATAAATTACTAACTTCATCAGGAGTAAACTGAGCTACATAGGAACCGTTTTCGTTGATTTGGACAACGTCCAGTGTTTCTATTCTTTTACTGGGCGTTTCGAGCTTTGCTTCAATGCGACCGAGTAGACCATTGGTTTTCATAGTGAAACTACAAGCTTTACCAAGCACTCCATGATCTGAGAAAGAAGATAACTCAAGCTTGCCAGGTTCTTCAGCCGAAGGAACGACGTATACCTCAAAAATCGAGTAATTCGGTAGTTATTCAACATGCAACAAAAACAAATATATATAAAACATATATTTTTAAACAATATATAAACTAGCAATGGTTGGTATAGCTCTCAATGACCAGAAGAAAATCAGAGATGAAATACTTTAAACGGTGAGCCTGGAATGTGTTCAGCATTGAATTTAACTGATATTTGATATTCTCCTGATTTCGCAACTCTAAAATCGAAGTGGCAATTACCGTCCTGAAAATGATTGTCCATGAAAGATAAGCATAATGAAAGCTTATTCCTCATTGCAATCCAGTACAATTTTATGAAGTCAATGTTTTTACTGAAATTTAATGATTAACAATTATTTCGAAAACGATATAATTTATAAGAAACTACTGTTATGTTGCACTTTACCTGCAAATTTAGGTGAAGATAAAAAAGTTAAATGCATCCTTAAAAGTTATTTTTACACTCCTCAAAATGCAAATCCATTGCTGTTTCTAAACAGATCAATTATGATGGTTAATTATTATTCCAGCAACTTAAGCAAAAAGCCATTTGAAACAATCAGACTCCTCTAAGCAGCATACTCATAGAGTGTATTATCATCTACCTCATGTTCGTGAAACTGTAAGTCGGCTTTTGACGGTCCTTCTATCACTACTTCTAAGTTTCCTTGTCCCGCTTCACGTGTATAGAGATTAAAAGACTGCTTCCTATTAACCTCTACATGATTTAATCCAATTCCTGCACCAAGTACCTTATGAGCTCCTGTTTCTTTCATCTGACCAACCGTATACAGAATCGGGCTTCCTGTGAGCATAAAAGGTGAATTAACTTGCAATAATTTCACTTATTTTCTGAGTTCTCTTCAAAGCCATGTTATGTCTTTTTTATTGAGTCCATCTCATTATAAAGATTAGTCATTAATTACTCACATATAAAACAGGTTCTCCCCATTTCATATATGGATATTATTTATTGCTTTTGACTGTGTGATCTTACCTTATGTTCAACGAGATCACAGTACTCTGTTCAATTTGAAGTCAATAGTGAAAACTCTCATCCTAGTAAAAATTTCATCCTGGTGAAAAATCTCCTCCTAGTGAAAAATCTCATGAACTAATAGAAAGCAAACCTGAAATGTGCTTCCCTTTGTAGAAAACTGATATTGCATGCCTGCCACTTACTAATGGTCTGAACTGAAACCGATAAAGACTGTTACCCAGATGATGAATTTCAACATCTTCACTGCATCCATTTGGATCAACGACTTTAGCTGTCGTTTCTAAAGGTGATATGTTCTCCAGTTGTAAATATAAGGCAGTGTCTTGTCCTGGTAGCACTTCTGGTACCTAAACAAATTCCGCAGTTTTTTTTGACGGTCGCGAATAGATATGGGCAATACAATATTTTGTTTCATTAATGCGATAAGAAAAATAAATATCACTAAATCATCACTGCGATTTTTTGCATACTTGTTGCCTTCAACAGAATGTAGATTAAGCTCACCAATTTGATTTCTTTAGTAGCGCTTTCTCGCAAAAAATCTTCTGTTTTCTCGTCGCAAATGACAGTGAAGGGGCTATCTATAATTATCATATTATTACATAACTTTAAATAAGATGCAAGTATGAAAACAGATGCAATATTAACACTTACCATTCACATGTACACCAGCGTATAAAATAGATAAAATGTAAATCCCAGGTTTACTAAGTTTATAAACAACAGAAGCTACACCCTCTTTGTTTTCGAAACATCTTAATTCAGCTTCTGACGGTCCATGAATAGAAATAGACAAAACGCCATGACCTGTAGTAAAATAAGAACTTGGAACTAAGCATACATTTTATACGAAGAAAAACTCAAAAACAAAAAGGGTACATTACTCGCTACAATGAAAGAATTAAATTGAAAAGCAGTTCGAAAAGGATCACTCAATTTTTATGTTGCTTTTCGTAACCAAAACAAAAATAAATTACCAGCGTCACACGTATTGACTGTTAAATAGTTATCCTCTTGACAAATCACTCTACACTTGCATGATCCATCAACGATTACTTTGGATGCATCAGCAATCTAAAATACAGAAAATGAGTAAAAGCACTGCAAATAAAGGAAACCAGTAACTAAATAAAAGCTTATTTGATTTTTATTGACAGTGACTCGAAACGGTGACTTCTCCACAGCTCGATCATTTTTTTTCACAAATATCAGGTGTTCACCAACTTCCCGTGGAACAAAAGATACGCCTACAAACACTGCAGTGAAATAATTTTCAAGTAAATTTTTTTTTTTTTTTTGATTTCATAGTATTAGAACAAGAATTATACGCAACATATTAAAACAAACTTTATACTATAATTACACCGAAATCAAATATTTTTTTAAGCTTGCGAATAGATGAATAAAACAGTAGAAAAATGATAAAACACAGCAGACCTAATTTTATCAAACACCTTTTACAACTGTAACAAAAAAAAGAATAGATACCGAATTGGTCACAATCAACACTACGTATCGAGCAAATCTTTTCAATCCCACTTGGACTCATTACTGATGCTGACAGGTCTTCTAATTGAACATCAGTAATATTTAGCAAGATCTGAAATTTTGAACAAATAATGCAGAAAGTGAAATAGTATGAAATTACGACCGAGAAACTTTTTTGCCAGAAGAGGAAAAAAATCCATTAAGCATGAACATATAACACGAAATGGCAAATTTTTGATCAAAAACAAATTAAACTACTAACAACAGTTGTAAAAAAAGAACCTCAGTTTGTGCTGTGTAAAGTGATAAGTGTGCTCGTTTCTGATCTTCATCCGTTGCAATTACGGTAAACGGAGAACCTTCCACAGACTTTGCGCAAAACCTGACATGAATTTTGTATTCGCCAGCTATGGTTGGTGTCCATGACACAGAACACGTACTATCCTACAGAAAATGACTAAATGATTTCCACTCAGTAAATATTATTATGAAGAAATCTGAGATTTCTTTAAAATATTGTTCTCTGAGAGTCCAACATTTGTCAGAGAGCTTTGCTAAGAGTGTTTTATGGAACAGAAGATAGAGAGACCAAAATTCTGAAAATACAAAGACCCCAGACAAAACAATTTCTTAATTACAGCGACCTTATTGTCATGACATCTAATCACAGCCTTTTCTGGACCTTCTACAGCAATTGATATTTCTGCTGTGGATAACCCTTTGGAACTGATCGTGAATGACGCTGGTTGACCAACAGTAGCGTGTAACAAACCAGGACCATACGCTCTTATATACTCTTCAAGAGCTTCATACACATCAAATTCCACTGGACTTCCATTTATGTCAATACCATTATGCTTTACTGACAATGAATGAACACCACATTCTCTGGGCTGATATCTAACTGTCAAATCCCCATTACCACCATCCTGCAAACTAAGAAGATGAAGAGATACACATAAAATTCTCTGTTCATTAATAATGAATGCCAAAAATTTTGCTATTTCAAAAAAAAATCAAAACTTTAAAAACCTGAAAAATGAGTAAAACAAATAAAATAAATCGAATTTAACTGCTTTATTTGTTATTCATAATATTCTATTTCGAAAATTTAACACAACCGAAATGCAACAAGACTTATTTTGGTGAATTTATCCTTGAAATTTGCGATGACGTCCAACATCAAAAATCTTATTATTAAATGCAATCTAAGTGATCTACTAAAACATAACAGATGATTGGAACGA